AAAAAAAGGCAGTTCCGTCCTCAAAGCTTTTTCAGCCGAGAGAAAGGCCCACTGGATGCAGATTCATTGCGTGTTTCTGCAGACTGCCGTCGATGTACTCGAAAGAAATCGGGTATGAAGAAGCATATTTGTAGTCAATATTCATTGAACAGGTTACGTGGAAAGATTCAGATATCCAATGGATCGGTCGAGTTTTACCTAACTTTTTCTTGAAAAATAAAATTTTCGTATATCTGCAGACGTGTGATTCATTGCTTTTCAGCCAGCCACGCCAAGTCTACTTGTCTGTTTGTGACGGGTTGCATGTCACTACGAGTAACCTGGTGTCCACTAAATCAGGACTTCGGCAAAGAGCTGGTTCAATGACATCGTGCGTCTGTTTTTCTCTGAAAAAAAAATATTGTGGCAAATCGTATCAAAGAAAACTTCTGGATTTTCCAAAATGATATAAAATTTAAGGTTCAGAACGATTTTTTCTGAATATGATAATCTGTAAATTGCTACAGTAGTGTAGTAGAGCCAATCAGGCACATGTACGTGGAAAGTTCAAATTTGAGTTAAAAGTACAAAAAGAAATCTGCTCAGCATGAATGCTCTACTAAACTGCTTTGAAAAGGAATCTCAAACGAAATCAACTCTGTTAATAAATAGCTTCAACAAAACAAAAGGATCCAAATTTCCTCAATGTCTATATGTTTGTTACGCATTTCTTTCTGTGAGAGACACGTATAACATATTGTGGGTTCTACTCAAAATTTGACAGGACGGTTCTTTGAATGAATCGCCCAGCGTATACAATTCCGTATACTGACCCGGTTAAGTACGAAATAAGGTGGCAAGAAAAGACTTGGTGGGTTCTACTAATGACTTGGGTTTGTATGTGGGGCGATTGTCCTCCCGCTCCTCAAACAGACCCAAGTCGGCAAATTTCGACGGAATTCACAATAAGACCCCGTGACAACTGACCTCAAGCTCTTGAAGGTCTCAATTGTTCTGTTCTCTAGCAAATCTCAGTCGTGAGTGCACGATACCTTTTACAAATACGACGTTGTACATGTAACAGCCAAGAACTTGGGGCAGTAGGCCAACTGAAGTACATTACATGATCTACCCGTGCTTCTCGACGCAAAAAAAGTAGAACTGTATAGATCGATAGCGACTTCAACAGACAAGCACTAGCGTAGTCGAAAGCCTTTCTGAAACAGTTCCAAACGTTGTGATTGCGGCCACACTACGAATTGAACAAAGAGGCGTATTGGTAATCAACCAGTGGCGTCTGGATTTTTGTGGTAGAAAACAGATTTTGATCCATTTTTTTATACCATGTCACCAACGCGTCCATGGCTTTAATGGTAATCAGGTAGCTGGCTTACCAAAGCGAAGACAAATACAGTGCACTCACGATCTTCATTCCCCGCGAAGTCGGTATGATGGCTGGATTGAATTATTAGATGCCATATTGATTAATAGTCTGTTTTAAAGTTAACCTTCGGCAAGAAGAGCTCTAGGTCGAGGAGGCAGTGTTATAGCTTGGAGGGGAATCACGCAATCAATCGTTGGCATCGGTACACACATTAAGGTACTTGAGCATCATACAGTGAGACCAATCGAAAAAAAAAACTACTATTAATACTGTTTGTATTGTATTTTAGGTAAATACATGCAGTACCGTGTTGGTATAATTACACGCAAGACTTCTCAAAAAGTGCTACAGTAGCTATGAATAATAAAAATAACTGTTTATCATTAAAGAATCCAGGCTCGCTAGCGAGGTGGAGGACAAAGGTGTCCATTAGCATCGGAACTGTTTGTTACTTCGAAGTAGTATTTTATTTGCTATTCCTGGACACCCCTAAAGGCATTCTCATCAGCAGGCATGTTTCAACCTGATGTCTTGCGTGGGAGGCGAGCTTCTGTTGAATCAAGAGGTAAGCCACAAGGTAACGAGAACGACTTTGTCAAAATCATCTCCGTCGACTTATCCCCATTGGAGCTCCGGTTTGAGAATATTTTCTCACGGTTGGCAGCTATCGAGAAGCAGTTGAACCTGAAACAGCATCTGACTGACCAACAAGTATTAGACGACAGCAATAACGCCACGCTGCAAGAGGAAACTTCAGTCTCTGAGCCACAAACTCCCGACTCAAATCCAGAATCTCATAATCATCCAGAGGCTAATCCAGAGACTGCAGAACCGACGCAGAAAATCTACACAGATGGCGTCACTTTAGCTCAGGAGATAGAGTCGCTACGTGCTGCTCAGCTTCGACTCAAAATTGATCACGAAGTGGCAAATTCGAGTCTTCAATTGGAGATGGTGAGGCTCAGAGCCGACTTGGAGCAAGGGATCGTGACTGATCTGCAGGAATTTCGAGAAGAAGTGACCGCTGCATCCATCGCATCAACCAAGGCGCTTCAGACAGAGTACCAGAGACTGGCACAGACCATGAACGTGACGCTGGCAGAGCGACAAGTGGCCGAAAACCGCTGGAAAGCCACGTTCGAGGACACAATCGCAGCTCGGATCCAGGATATCTGGTCGGGACTGCACTCGACGTCTAGAAAACTGCAAGAAAGCATGAAGTACTTGCAGACGGAAATGACCAGTCAGGAGGAATCCTCGCGAGAAATGAACGCGTTCGTAGAGGCCATGAAGAGCTCCAACGAGCGCCTGGAACGAGACAGCAACAAACACGCGCAAAGGTTGACAGAGCAGGAGAAAAATGTGGAACATCTCCACACTATGAGCTCCCAAAACTCTGTGCGTCTGGACGAACAGGCCGCCAAACTCACCAACCAAGTGGGGACGATCTACCAGCAAATGGAGAGCGCAGCAGCTCGAACGACGAAGCACATCCAAGCGTACGACACGTTCGTAGCCACAACGGACAAGACGTTGACTGCCTTGGCATCAGATCTTAGGGCTTGTAACTCGGCATTGTCAGTCCACGAAGCCGGTCTGCGTACTCTTGATACCTTGGCACAGCGTCAGAAGGAAGAACTCGTTCGAGTGGACGAGCGCATGAGCACAAGTGACGCGAGAATCGGTAGCATTGACGGTCGAGTCGCTCTCACCGAGAAGAAAGCGACGAGTACCATCGCTATCATCGAAGAGCACTACCAAGAGCGACAGCAGATCGTTGCTTCCATCCAAGCAGGACTAAGCCAAGCAGCACTGGAACGTACCGCTATCAAGCACAACGTGTCGGATCTGGGCTTCATCGTCCAAGAAGTGCAACACAAACTGCTCGACGTCGAGAAAACTGCACGCACCACCGAGTCGGCACTTGCACGCACGGCCGCAGAGCTACCGAAACTGCACGTACTGGTGACGTCCAACTCGTCGAACATTGCCAAGAACCGCCAGAGTATACGCGACGTGACGGTCATGATCGAAGACGACCGAAAGACGGCGAGTACGCTACGCAACGAGTTTGACAGGGAAATCTGCAGCACCGTCACGCGCTTTACAGCCGCTGAAGACCGCGACGTACACGCTCAGGAAGCGCTGGCCACCGCTGCAGCATCCGCGAACGACGTGAAACTCGAACTGGAGACGCGTATCCAGAAGAACGTGAACCTCATCCACCAACTCAACACGATGGTCGACAGTTTGGCGATCACCGAGTCCACCGAAGACTTGGAGGACAAGATGAACTCGTTCGCTTTGTCGTGTGCTCAACTGGGTCTTAAACTGGAGTTTTACGGTAAAAAGGCGAGTTCAGTGGACGGGTCTTGTGTCATGAAGAGCGACGTGAAGGCCAACCTGGCTGTCGTGCTCACCAAAGTCACTCGATTCCTGGGCTCCGGTGTGTCTATAGACCAGAACAAGTACCTGTTAACAGCTAAGAGATCGCATTCTGTGGATCCGATCACGGGTCAGATCACCTTAGAGATTCCACCGCAGCATGTGCTCGACAGCTTCCGAGTCACCAAAGCTGCCGCCTTCGCAGCCAAGACACGCAAAGCCATGGATCACCTGCAACCTGTACTCAAGTCCAATCGCACATCGATGGACTTTCGAGACGCCTTTGAGCGTAAGTTACGCTTCGTTCTAGAGTTCGGACTGGCCAATTTGTTCCCCAACATGGGGAAGCCCAAGAATCCAACGATTCGAAGAACAGGAGAGTTCGGGACGTGCATCGCATGCGATCGGCCCATGGACGAAGAGCCTCAATGTGATCCAGAAGATGAGACCCCACTGCGTCATCGCGCACAGCATGAACCAGCCAGCTCCGAAGCTCCTGAATATCGCAGTACGTCGCCTACTTCACGGCCTAGTTCGGCTGCTACGAGGAACCGTATCGACACGAAGACGGTGGTGCGCGGTCGGTCTGGTTCGTCTTGCATCCGGCCAAAAAGTGGCGGGGATTCGGTACACAACGCGCCAGGCACCGGAGACTTCGTGTATCGAGGCGGCTTCCGGATCCCCAAGACCCATTCCCACGCTGTTATGAGCGCCAGTATCAACTCGCTGATTAATCTGTCGGTGCAGTCTCTCATATCTGATACAACCGAAGATAATGGCAACAGCCTGTTAGAAGTCGACAACTCAAGCTTGGAGAGGGTGGCGCTGGTAGGTAAACACCAAGAGAACCAGATCACAGGCGTCTCTGGGGTGGGGAACGGCGTTGCTGCTGTCCGAGCTGCACGTCCTCACACTGCGCCACTGCGGATGAAGTCGCTGCCTCGACTGGATGTCGCCGCTCCGACTGTGGACACGACAGAGCAGAGGCTGCAACACTTGAGTGGGTAGACAAAGGTGGACACTCATATTGGTCCTTCAGCCTTTTCTACTGCTTGGAGGACGTCGAAGGGTCCACGCCTATGCTTTTGAGAATGTCCTCGGCTTGCTTCACTGTCTCGTTGGATGAAGGGTCCATCTCTGTGTCTTTGTGGACGCTAGTGTCCATTTCCAGTGTCCTCAACTGTGACATGCAGGCTTTGGCTTGCGTCATCATGTCTGGAGCTAAGAGGCCGCAAGCTGCTGCCGTCCCCAGCGCCCCACGTAGCCGAGCGAAGCGGAAACTCCGTACTGCTCCTTGTGCAAAGCCCAGGTCGAAGCCTTCCTGCAATGTGTCCTCCTTGCCGAGCTCCAGGCCATCGCGAATGCCCATCTGACGGTAGAGTATAAGTTATGAGATGCCATTGAGTTATCAAATATAAGAGAACAAGTGATGGCTGGATGAAAAGCAGTCAACCTCGCCTTCTACCGCCTTACAGTCTTCATGCGGCGTTCCAGCGCCACGCTCTCCTGGTTTAGTAGTGTTTCGTGCTCTTCATCGTCGCTCAAGAGGTCCTGGAAGCCATCGTCCGAGTCGCTGTCAGCTAGCATCGATGCAAGTTGCTCCGTCATGATTGCTTGGTTGAAAAATGTCGAGGATGCCAGACTTGATCATCTGGCTAAGTTCGAGTGTTCTGTGTCGTTAGCTTGTTCGGGAATGAATAATGTACAGCTTAACAGCCGAATATTGTAGCCATCCCAGTTGAAGGCAACTTGTATGGCGATAAGACTGGATAACTATGCTCTAACAATTAAACCTTCGCTCTACAGTAAAAGGAACGCTTATAATCCTTTCAACACTGCCGTCCAGACCTCTAAGTTACGATTCGTCCGTGTCTCCGCAGCAGCCATAACGCTATCCAGGAACGCAGCAACCTCTTCCTTCCCATTCGATCGAGCCAACTCTGCGGCATTTTGTCCGTCTTCGTTCGTGATATACAATGCGATGGACGGTAAATATGTGATCAGCACTTCAACAGCCTCTTGAAGTCCCAGCCACGCTGCCACGTGCAGTGGCGTATTACCACGTACATCCGCATAGTCCACGAAATCGGGGTGCTTTTTGCATAAATAATGGATACTCTCGACGTCATTCCGAAGACAAGCGTAAGCCAGCGGCATCCGTTCCTCCGTATCCGTAGCCAACAAGTCAGCTTCACACTGTTCGCCAAGGAACGTAAGAGTTTCGACGTTTGGCGCAATGTGAGCACACGTCAATCTTGTGTGGTTTTTATCGTCAACTTTAGCACATCCACTCTCAATTAAGAGTGCAATTCCAGAGGTATTCCCACTAGTTGTGGCAGCGTGAAGAACTGTGTCTCCGTACAAGTCAACACCGGCGTTAACGACAGATTTTAGCAGATATTTCACGCACTCAAGCTGGCCAGCATAACACGCGTAGAATAGCGGAGTTCGACCGTCTTCATCTCTCCAATCTAGATAATCGCTGGCTGAATATCCGCCTCCATCTCCATTTTGGAGCGAGTTGAGCAGAGCTTCCAAGCAACTGACGTGTCCACTGAGAGCTGCTGCATGCAGCGCTGTAGTTAAAGCGGTGTAGTAACACTCTTCGCATGCTGATACTGCAGCTGCAGTGCTGGAATAGTAATTGTAATATTCTGCGAATGAAGTGAGTGCGAATCCGAGAGGACCGTCGGATGTTGGTAATTCGATACGCAGCGATCGATAACACTGATCTTCTTCGATCCACCGATTAATATCAATGCTCATAGGTAAGCACGCAGCTCGCTTGGCTTGGATAAAACCAACAATATCGTTCAGATTATCCGCACTCACGGATATTTCCAAACCTTCACATCCAGCTAAAATATCACCATTCAAAAGACCTGCTTGATCTGCAGTAGATGCTGGTACAATGTCGTATACAACCAATGCACTAGCACCTTCATTAGTTGATGAATCTGCTGTAGATTCTGTGGAGATTTTCTCCTCAGATTTTAGCAGTTCAGCAGGTTCTTGTTTTTCAGGCCACTTGAAAGGACTGAGCTGACAACCGAGTAATCCTTTGCCTTCCCACTTTCGAGGACACAGTGAAACTCGCAACTCTTCGAATTGCTCCTCTTGAGTCTCCACAGATCGTAAGAGGACAACGGGGATCGGAGTATTCACGTTCTTCTGTACACACTCAGCCATCGCCATTAAGCACTTCGGTGTAGTACTTACGATCCCGCCGAATTCAACCAGTAGATCGCCACTCTTTAGCGTTGCTTGCATTGCTGGTGAACTATCCGTGACGCTTAGAACCTGCGCAAACGGGGCAAAACCCTCTTCTTGAGAGCGAGAAATAGTCCAGATGAGTCGGGCATCTACCTTCTTCTCGACTGTACCCGTCGAATTCACCTGCTCCTCTGCTACAGGCTCATCCAGCTTCTCAGTATTTGCTGCGTCGCTGTCTTGTGCTGCGGTCTCCACATTGGAGTCCTCATTTTCTTGATCGGATTGTAACGTAGATTCAGCCACCTGAACAACAGTATTCGATTCATCAGAATCACCACGGGCGCTAGAACGGTGCGCTTCCTGCTCGATCAGGGTCGCTCCATCCTTTGCTTCACCAGATATCAATTCTTTCGATCCGCCCTCGCTTTTCTCCGAATCATTTACTGTAATATCTCGCTTCTCCGATTGTGACGTTGCACTCAGTTCTGCTACGTCTGCGCCCGATTCTTCTCTGACCTCTCCATTATTCCCTTCGATTTCACTTGACACAGCACTCGATTCATCCTTAACAGCCGAGCTCTCATCCTTCAATTCGTTCTGATCAATAGGCCGAGTAACGGGTACATTATCGTCACTGTCCTGATCTATTGATTTGACTTCGTCCGCCTTGGTCTCCTCTGTTATTACTTGTCGATTCTGCATTTCCATACGTTCAGCTATCTGCGCTGCCCGCTCCTTCTGCAACTTATGAATCTGAATACGTCGCTGTTTGTCCTGCTCGTACTGCTGGGCCATAGCAGCTCGTCGTAACTGCGTCGCCTCCCGCTGTTTCTCCTGTTCGCGCTCTTGGAACAAGCGCCATTCCTCTTGCTCTGCCGCGATCTGTCGCTGTCGTTCTCTCTCAGCGATCACTTCTTGTTGCATAGCATGACCCAGCACGTCTTCCACCTGCATTTGAACAGTCTCTAGCTCAATCTGGTGCTTCTCTCGAGCGATTCGCGCCTCCTCTTCGATCGCATGCTGCTTCTCAGCGAACTCCGCCCTCGCTTTAGCATCTGCCGCTTCTTTAAGCGCCTTCATCTTACGTTCCATCTCGGCCTTCCTCTTCTCTTCTTTCTCCTTTGCTTCCTTCTCTTGTTGCTCCCGCTGCGCTCGGATCTTGGCCAGATATTGCTCCTTGATCCTCTTCTCTTCCTCCAGCTCCTTCTCGCGTTGCAGCTTCCTCGCAGCCTCTTTCTCGGCCTCTACGAGTCTTATGACTAGCAGTTCTTCTTCTCTCATGCGAGACCTCTCTTCTTGACGCTGCAGTCTCTCCTGGCCTTCCGGTGTTCCAGTATAGTCCTCCTTCGCCATCAGTGTCAACTCCATACGTCGCTGTTGCTCGGCTGCCATTCTCTGGCGATGATTCACAGCAGCTGAAGCTTCGTCTCCGCCACTAAAGACTTGCTGTGGTGCTGCAGCATTGACCTGACGCATCATCATGAGGCGATCAAAGCCTTGGTACCCCACAGAACCTCCAGTTGGAGGCCTTGCGAGGTCGAGAGAGCCATGACCAGTCGGTGGACGATGCACTGGACTCTTGGGAGGAGGAGGCTGGGAGCGATTGGCGCTAGTGGATGGAGCAACGTCCACCGACAGAGGGAAGACACGTCGACTGCCCATTATGTGCTACAGATCTCAAGTGCGCGTGTTTATTGGCAATAACCCTGCTATATTTAATGTTGAAGTGACCATCACTCTTGACAACTTCAACTATTGTACCAGCACTCTGATTGAAGGACAAACACTCTGAGTAACATCTTCCTCCTCTTACTGATCATAGTGAAATGCATCCATGTACTCGACGGCCTCGGCCCAGCGGAAGTGGCTGTCGTCGAGGACGTGGCGGCGAGAGCGGCGAACTCCCGTCCAGACGCCCACAATGAGCAGTAGCGTCAGACACGACATCGACGCGAGCATGGACAGCTTCATCGTCCACAGCTGGTCGTTGTATCTTTGCCAGTGGTGGGGCACGAACATCGGGTGCTCGAAGCCGGTATGGGTCGTAGTTGCAGCTCCACGAAGAGCTGGCTTCTCCTCAGACTGAGCGTACCAAGCAGCTTGTATGGCCTTCTCTGCGAACGGAACTGAAGCACGTTCAGGGGCGTCTGGCAGCTGTACACCCGCCACTTCAGTAGTTTGAGGCACTTGATCGTCCATAAACTCGTCCAATATGATCCTTCCCAACGCATCTGCAGCTTCCATTGCGATTTCTCCTTCCAATTCCTCTTTCTTATCCTCAGTAAGTCTCGGTCCACTACCCGTCGACGCTGGGATGATGACAATGATCTCATCCTCTACGACCTCATTCTCACCGTCCGTCTGAGTCACCACGATGTCGATCTCTGCCAATGAGCCTTCATTCGGCAGCTTACTTAGTGCCTTGTCCAGCCCCTGTTTCATCTCATCGAGCTCCTTCTCAGCCTCCGCTTCCTCCTCAAAGAAACGTTCAATTTTATCATTAAAAGCCTCTCCACCTTCTCTCTCCACCTTCGGAGGCGTCACAACCTCATCAATAATCATTGCATCTAAAGTGCCTGCCACGGCGCTCTCGATTTCCGCTTTGATCTCGTCTTTTTTCTCCTCCGAAAGTCTGGAATCTGGAATTTCGACAATAATCTCATTAGCGACCCAAAACTTCGAGCCGCTGGTCGAACCACCCAATCGTCCGACCACCACATCGACCTCTAAAGCTCCACTGGTACTGGATAGTTGATTTAGGGCTTCGTCGAGTTGTTTGTCCAGCTCAATCAACGTGTTGACCACCTGCGCCTCTTCCTGGATCAGGACTTCGACGTCGTCGAGACTGCCACTTGCTGCTTGGAAATTGCCGATTGCGATGCCGTTCACGTCAATTTCGGTGGACTTCGAGCTGCTAAAGAGTGCGGATAGCACCAGGATCGCGAGACGTAGAGTTAAAGCCATGCTTGACTGGCAGGCAGATCTGTAATTGCGACCTTTGATGATAGATACAGAGCATTTCTGTGTTTCTAACTTAAAATTGTGTGTAAGACACACCATATATCATCAGATTCTGATAAAAGCTGATACAGGAACGATTCCGTCCAACCAATCAGATTCCGTTTTGGTCCCACTTCAAGCTGTCGCACTCGTTTGACACCCAGCATTTTGATCCTTCCCATTTGAGCAAAACCCCTGTCTGGTCCACGCGAAGTCTGGAGCTATGAGCGAGGAAGTGGTGCTGGGCTACACCGCCGCCATCGTGGCTGTCTTCTTCTACGGAACCTGCTACGTGCCCGCCAAGACCTACGCCACCTACGGTCAGTTCCAGTTTATAGATAGAAAAGCTGCAGTATCCTAACGTTTGTGTGGTGTACGTAATTTGAATTTCATCACAGATGGGATCATTTTCCAGTGGTTTATGGTAAAGTAGTCATTTTCTCCACCATGCAGCCATTTTCAATGTCGCTAATCATTGTTATTGTTAAACAGTGCTCTGGCATCTTAATGGTGGGCATCGCCTGGGGTTTACTCAGCAACAATTGGTCCCAATACTCCCAGTCGGGCATGTTCACGTTTCCCGAAGGCTTACTGGGTGGGGCTTTATTCGCTATCGCCAACCTATTAATCCCAACTGTGGTCAACACCCTCGGTCTGGGAGTGGGTTTTATGCTCTGGAACGCCACCAACATCACGTTGGGCTATTGCGTTTCTCGTCTCGGTCTATTCGGCGTCTCCCCCACGATCCCTAACATGCCCTGGACCAGTTTATTGGGCATAGTTTTCATGCTGGCCTCAATCGCGGTCTACGGGACCATAAAACCCACTCTGAAAGCCCCCAAAACCAAAAAATCCAAGAAAACCAAGACCAAACGCGACAAAAATCACGAAAACGGAAGCAACACGAGTCTCACCAGCTCATTTGGTGAAAATTCACCTTTGCTACCGCAATTTTCGGACGACGCCGAGTTGTCAAGTATCCCTCTAACTCGACGGGAATCGCTGCCACAAGCGCTCATGCACCCGGAATTACCCAATTTTGGGCCTTATATGATGCCCAATGAGTTGGGTGAACACGTGGAATTGATCGACGCTGATGCTGAAAAAACCCGAAAGATTTTTGGGATGACAATTGCGTTACTGGTGGGGGCTTTTTTGAGCTGCTGCCTCGTGCCGTTCGTCAACTGGAAAGACCGCTGCAAACCGTCGGATCCCGCACTCAGTAGCCCCATTGTGGAGACGTGCAACCCGCTAAACTTCGTCTTCTCGCAGTGTCTGGGCGTCTACTTGACCAGCACCATCGTCTTCTTACTGTACTCGGTGTTCCATCGATTCGTACTTAAGCGCTCGATGCCGCGTAGTGTCATGCGTCCAGCCTATATCTGCGGTGTTTTGTGGGGGATCGGCTTGTGTGGCCAACTCTACGCTATCGGAGCGTTGGGGTTTGACCAGATTTTCCCCATTTGTTCGATTGGTCCTGCTATGGTGTCCATGTTGTGGTCTGCTGGATATTTTAAGGAAATCCAAGGTGAGAAAAATCTACGGACACTTGCACTCGGCACGGCGCTCGTGCTTATTGGCACTGGACTGCGTGTCATCTCTATGTGAGAGAATTGATTCGACAAATCTAAACAAAATAAAGCTGACTCATTGCAGGTTTTTTTTAGATTTTACAAAATAGTACATGCTTAGCAGTCGTTACTAAAAAAAAATATTTTTGTCATTGCTAACGTGGGCTGCAAAGGCATTTCTCCTTCCTAACGATCCTTGACGAAGTGCAATATGACCCCAACAAGCAAAGCGAGTAAAACAAGCGAGAAACATTCGTGGAGATTGTCTCTGAGTCGAAAATCCATCGGTCGAGTGCACAGTCCCTTCAGTCTTCATACACGCTTAGCGAATGTCTTGGAGGAAGACTATAAGAACGCATTCGACCCGAATGCGAGAGCTATCAAGGTGTGGGAGCATTTGCTACTGCTCAGTGTTTTGGTCGAGGCTTTTTTGGTCCCGTACTTCCTGGCGTTCCAGCCTGAGGCTGTAGAAACAGTATCCACACTTTTTACGGTTTTTATCGTGTCCGAAGGGATTTTCGCAGTGGATTTGTACGTTCAAGCGCATACTGGATATTACTCGGATGGGAATCTCATTCGAGACAACAAACTCACGGTTCGTAGCTACGTTTTCTCCTTCCAGTTTGTGTTGGATATTCTCGCGATTTTACCATACCAATTATTCGTGATAATTTACCCGAAATTAGTGGCAAAATTGCTGCTTTTGAAGCTGCTCCGCTGGTCCAGAATCCCGCATTTTGTGTCGAGTCTGGACAAATTTTACGCCAAATATTTCGTTGCTTTAAAGCTGCTCAAGGTACTGGCATCTACTGTATATTTGGCTCACGTACAGGCTTGTATCCGGTTCACTTTTCACCACTACGAGATTATTGAGAGCTCGAGTCACAGTCATTCTCTGCATAGTCAGTATTTGGCGTCGATGTTCTGGAGCGTGGGGATCATGACGGGATTATTCGAGGGAGAACTACCGCACCACAGTATCGAGTTTCTATTCACTGTTCTGGTAGCTCTGTGTGGATTTTCCATGTTTACGACACTCTGCGCGACGATTTTTGTCATTTCCAAATGTGAAAGCGGTCAGACGGAGGCGATGGAGGCACGGATTAACCAACTCGTGCATGTTTTGTCGTTCCATCGAGTCCAGGAAAACCAACAAACACAGGCCATTGAATATCTAAAGGTACGCTTTTCAGTTTATTTTATTTATCCATCACAATGAATTTATTATTTTTTGTTACAGCGTTATTACACCGATACGGAATCTCACGACCGTGAGACGTCGAAATTATTGTGCCCTTCGATCGCTAACGATATTCAAGTGGAGCTTTTGAAGGCCACTATCGCAGATATTTCGATCTTTGAAGGCTGCAATGACCAGTTCATCGTGGCCATGACGAGTTTGCTGGAAATGGTCGCGTTTCCTGCTCAAACGACATTATTTTCCACAGGAGATGACGGAGACGCCATGTACGTGGTGCACTCAGGGGTTCTCGCTATTGTCATCAATTCGGTGATGGTTCGGGAGATTCGCAAAGGCTCGTGCTTCGGAGAACTCTCGGTCTTCTCTTCCATGCCTCGTACAGCTACTGTGATCTCGACGACCTATGTGATTTTATATAAATTATCGAGGTTTCATTGTGAACGAGTGCTACAAGGCTATCCAGAATGTGCTTCTCTCATTGAACGCCACGTTCAACACTTGCTGGGTCAACTGAGTCAGAGCGCAAATACACGTGCATCTTCCTCTTCTGGCTCTTCTGGATCAGGCGTAAAATCTGGAGGAATCCGTCGCGCATCAGTGGCTTCGGCTTTTGTCAAAGTTTTATCCAAACGAGGCAGAACAGCTGCAATATTCTCATCCCGAAGGAGTATTCTATCTTGGCTTGGAAGAAGAAGCTCAGTCACCCCGGAGTCTGTTGAAAACGATTCAAACGGAGTGATGGGCGGGAATATGTTTCTTTCACAAAAATCCAAAAATGGGCAAGAATCGCAGATAAAAGCGTCGATGAATCCATACGACCGTCACGGGCCCAAGGCTGTGCTTATTCCGGATTATTCTGGATTATGGCGCTTTATTCTGCTTCGGAAATGCATCGATCATCACTCCACAGTGCGCATGTGGTGGCTGCTTTTACTACTGTTCAATTTGTATTACTGTTGGCTTATGATTCCTGTCCAAGTGACTTTCCCTCTGTGGCAGCGACCGGGCTGGTTTATCCAGGTCGTGGATACTATCTCAAATATTGGATTATGGCTGGATTTACTGCTAAATTTTAGTTTATCCTTCACGGTGGATTCGGAAACTATAACAAGCACGAAACGGAGTGCACAGCGATATCTCTCGAGCAATTTTGCTCTCGACCTGCTTTGTGCACTTCCCTACGAATATCTACACAGGTCGAAGTATGGACTATTGCGACTGCCACGATTATTGCGGATATTTCATCTGCGAAAACATCTGACCGAGTTGTCATATTTTATTCCGAGTACTAGCAGACGTCAACTTGTTTTGCTTGGGATGCTTCTGTTGATGATAATCCACATCGTCACGTGCATCCACTTTGGGATTTCGTATTTTGAGGGATTTAATCCGAACCATGAAGAAGCATGGATATCTCCAATTAATTTGTGTTTGAGCAGATTAAATACGACCCACTTGGAAAACTGCAATGGCACAACATTCGATGAAGACTCGGATTTTCAGGACTTACAAGCGATCACATTCCAGCAATACTCTAGATCTCTGTACTACGCTGTTGGTGTGCTCGCATCCCCGGGGAAAAGTGTAGAACCTACCACTGACGTACAATTAATAGCGGCGGTCATTCTTATGCTGAGCGGATTTTTGATCACTGCGATCGTAGTGGATAATGTCATGAAACGCTTTACAGCTTCGGCGTTCGAGCAAAAGGAATTCTTCGCAACAAGTACCCGAATCCAGCTCTTCCTCCATCGTCAGAATGCGCCGTTAGATATTCACCATCGCGTCAAATCTTTCTTGGATTATTGGTGGTCGTCTCATCGCGGTGCTGTAATTGGCGAGCTTCTTGCCGATCTTCCACGACCAATTCGACTCAATTTGCTGAAAAGTATCTGCTTACCGGTACTGCAGACTTTATCCTTACTTCAAAACGTGCGGTCGGTGCAGACTAAGCTGGAAGAAATTATGGTGGAGAATGCCAAGTTTATTCTGTACGGACAAGGCGAAATCGTGTACAGACATGGGGATTCTGTGGTAGGGGTGTTTTTTCTACTTGAAGGAGAAGTGTACATGGTGGAAAAGGGTGAAACATCCCGTGAAATCCCTCGAGGAGGCTTCTTTGGGACCGCTGTATTGACACAACAAGAGAGAGGAGAGGGGTATACGGAGCATGTGAGCGCCAATAGTGGGTGTATCTTATTATTGGTGTCTCGAGACCAATTGCAAGCAATGGAGACGATTTTCCCGACGCTTAAGGAGGAATTTCTCGCGCTGGAACAGCGATTACAAGGGACTAAACTATCAAGCATGCATGCGATAAAATCTGTTTCCAAAGAAAGCGGGAATCCGTCGCAAATACTGCAAAATCTGATCAGTGGGTTTAAAGAATCTATTATCGCTGTACACGATCCGGATTCTCAGTTTGTCCAGGCATGGGAAACGTGGGTGTTTGTGGTGATGACAGCTCAATGGGCACTGGTTATGCTTCAAGCCTGTTATCCAATGGAAACCAAACACAAAGTCACTGACGCATTCATGATCTTTCTGGAGCTCACATTCGTTGTGGATATTCAAATCCGTTCTCGACTTGGATATTACGAATTCGGCAATAAAATCATGGACCCAGTACGCATCAAGAGAAAATATTTACGATCCGGATCTTTGGTGTTGGATATTATAGCGCTCATGCCACTTTTCATCGTCAACTTAGCTTTGCCTTCAGACAAGCGGTGGGATCTCCTCAATGTCAACAAATTACTTCGATTATTCAAAGTTCCGAAGCAATTTCACGCGTTGGAGACGAAATATCTGAAACACACGACCGAATTGCGATTATTCAAACTGCTGTACTACACGTTCATGCTTTCGCACTTTCTAGGCTGCATTTGGTTTAACTTTGCCTCCAGAGCGGCAGTTCCTAGTTTCGTCAGTGCCGAATCCAGAGAACCAGCTTTTGGAGAAAATCACTGGCTTCCATCCGAGCACCTGGAGCACGGCTCTCATATTCTCCAGTACATGGCCTCACTGTATTGGTCCTTTGGGCTCATGTCGGCTTCGAGTGAGCCAGAGTTCCCAAAAACCACCGCCCAGTGTTTATTCAGTGCTTTAACCATGACGACGGGTTTCTTTTTGATCGCCTACGTGATTGGCAATTTCACGGACATTATCGAGCTCAACAGTTCCGAAACCAGAGAATTTAGCGCCAAAATGCGCTCCGTACAGAAAATGTTGGATCATTTCCAGATGCCCGAGGATCTTCAGCAACGTGTTAAAACGTTTTTACTGTTTAGACGCTATCATTCCATCACACAAGAAGGTATTTTAGTGCGTTGTCTACCACCGTCTCTGCTCACGGATATCCGTTTGGTGCACTTAAAGCCGATGATTGAGAAAGTGGAGTTTCTTCGAGGGATGGAAGGGTCTATTACGAGAATGCTGGTCTCTCAGTTCACGCAGGTTTTAATTTCTCGTGGGGAATTTATCTGCAATTTTGAAGAATCTGGGAGCGATATGTTCTTTATCTTCGCTGGCGTACTCGATATCCTAGTACCTGCACGAATAGCAAATCGTCACAGTGGTGCCTTTAAATCTGTCATCAGAAAACTCGTTACGAAGCCAAGTGGTGGATCTGGAGCATTAGGAAAGCTTCTAAAACCTAGCGGATCTGGAAATCTAAATAAACCAGGACCTGGAACACTAACCCGGACATCAAATGTCGGAGGCTCTGGCACATTAAACCGGGTTAGTCCACTGCTAAAAGACCCTTCTAACGGCGAGTTGCGACAAGATCAGCTGGTTAAAGTGAACGAAGTATCTGCTGGAAGATATTTTGGAGAAAACGGATTATTTACCAACGGGAAACGTAACGCGTATGTTCAGGCTCAAACATCATGCATCTTGTACCGATTATCCCGTGAATCTATGGAGCTCGTGTTTGCCAGATACCCGAAGTGGAAGCAAAAGGTGCTGCGAATTGCAAATATCCGACGTGAACAAGAGCGATTATTACAGCTTTCCCAAGACGAACAACGACGTGGCATGGCTACAATAACTGGCATGATGTTATCCCGTGCGGATATTATGAACGAAAGGGCAGAGCGCTTGAAAGAGAAGCTGGACCATGCTCGCTTGAAGCGCAGGAACAGTGAACGCTTTAGTCTCATCAGCACAACTTTGACAGATTTCGTGAAACGGTTTATCCAGAATCCGCTCGCGGATTTTATCGATGGGATTATCCACGGAGTTCCAGTTCAGACAAAGTTCCATCTGATGTGGCTGCGATTCATGGTATTCTGCACCATGTATGTTGCTATCATGATACCTTACCAATTATCTATGGATGATATGAGCCGAATGACGGTCGTTGCCACCAGTGTGAACGCAATAGGACTATTGTGTGAAGTGGCTTTTATCCTGGATATTTGGTTCAGTTGGCATGTGCAGGAATCTCCGACATCTTTGGAGCTTTACGAACAAAATCTACGTAGTGTATACAAGAAACAGCGGATGTTATTCGACGTCATCGCTGCCATCCCCTTCTACGGCGTCCTGGTCGTATTCAACTGTCGGCCGTGGATGAAACTTCTTCGATGTGTCAAAATCGTCAACGTCATGGGGTATTTGGACGAGATAAATCGTCGTAGCGTGGCAGACGAGCTCACCCACTTCTGGCACGTGTGGATGATGTACTTGTTAGTTATCCATTGGGTTGCTTGCAGCTACTTGGCCGTGGCTACGGAGGTAGGCTTTGGTACAGAATGGGAGTCCTGGCTTCCGTCTCAAGAGCTGGAAATCTCGGATCCTGAAAATCCATCCTCATCCCAATTATCTAAACGTTATCTGCGTGGATTATTCTTCGCTACGACAGCATTTGTGAAGAAAGCTCGCAACATGAAACCAGAGACTGCAGTGCTGTATACATTCCAGATTACTATGTCCTTTATGGGCCTCATCACCATGTCCTTCGTCATCGGAGAACTAGCCAGCCTCTTTATCTCATACATCGGACTCGAAGTGGATTTCCGCAAAAACCACATTGCAGTCGAGCTCTACTTGGCACGACTTCGAGTCAGTGGTCGTCTAAAATCCAGAACGTACGCCTTCATGACGTCTCTGTGGTCTTCTCACGCGGGCGTTAGCTATGATGAACTTCTCGAAGAAATACCACGTCCTATTCGTGCTGCTTGTGTGCTCCACGCGTCCAAGGAGCCGCTTGATTGGTTCGTGATGAAGGTTTTTACACCTATTTGTTGGAACGGTAAGAGCGCTATTGAGGCTTTTACGCTCTCATTGGCTGAGCAACTGCGCTTCGAAGGATATCCTCGAGATGAGAACGTTGTGGCTGAGGGGAGTATCGTCCGCGCCATGTACTTCGTCACAAAAGGACACTTAAACATGCAGAGTAATTCTCTACTGGATCGTCCGGTTGGCCTGGGCGCTGGAAGTTACTTCGGAGAGCGTGGATTACTTGGATTTTCTATCAGTGCGTATACCGTTCGAACGGTACGTGCGTGCGACTTGTTTTCTCTGAGCTCCGAGGCGTTTATCAAGGTGCTTAAACAGCATGAGTTCTCTCGTTTCGCACTGGATATTTGCTCCCGTTCGTACAAACAGATTAAAGAGAAACACGTTGTGGCGTGCTCAGAACACGAGATGGAAGAGCACTGGGGCGCTGCATTGCTTCTTATCGTTCAAGAGATTTGCAGACACCAACCAGTGACTGCAAGTGGTGAAGAATCTGCGGAGCAGGTCGGAGAAGAATCCATAAAAACGGATTGTAAGCTCGTGTCGGAGACGGTCGTTAGCAAGCGTGAAAGCTCTGCGGAGCAAGAAGAGAGTAGCACAGGTAACGCAGAATTACCGGCACATTTAGAGGCCATGGCGAAAGCTTTGACGACACCAGAGAAGTGCTTTCAAGCGTTCGCACCTCTTCTTCACATCTTTTTGGCGACGGATCCGCTGAATTGGAACGCAACTTTTTCCGCAACATCAACCACGTGAGACTCGTTGGAATAACCGTTAGCAGTCAATTGCCTGTACTACAATTAGTTGGAATAACCGTTAGCAGTCAATGCACTAGAATTACAAAAAAAAAATCCTAATGATAGTTTAGTACATAATATTAGCTTATATTCACGATTTACCTCTAGGTAAATCAATAAGAAGTGCTGGTACATCTGCACAACAAAATCAAACAATTATAAGTAAACTAAGTTTATAAACTTCGTATGCTACTTTATGTTTTGTTTCTAATATTGGATGACTCCTGAAATCACATTTTTTAATGCGTACTATTCGAGAAAGAGACCTACAGCGGAGCATTTTTTGTGATGCTTATTTTGTGACGTACTTGAGGTTGCAATTAGAGTGATCATACCATGACATCTTATACAATCAATCGGAATACAAAACTAAAGGTTACAATATTGCAGAGCTAAAGTAAAGCCGTTCTCGAAGTCTGGACCAAGTGAAAACACTTATACTTATTAACGAAAAGTTAAGCACAGCGTGATGGTACCTCCGCGTTTATCGTGGGCTTACAGGTAAGCTAGTGAAATACTGGGGGGCTGTAGGTGGTTAGGGGTGAAGCGACAGCATGCGGCTACCGGCTGGACCGTGTAGCAATGCATTTTATTGGTGGTGAAGATCACTCCTTTTATTTAACAAAATGCTGTCCCCCCTCAGCCTTGCCGCCCTGTTACGACGGCGGTGACGCAGGCAGCAAGGTCAATGTGGGCCCTCCGCTCAGCGTCGAATGCAATATCGTTTTGCAAGAAGGGCTTTGCTACCACCGCATATGTCTGTGTTTCAGCGGCTCTACGGGTCAGGGTGTAACCAGTCTCTCATCACACTGACTGGATTCCAGCATGCTGGCTTTCGCTATCTACTGGCACGTTTTGAAGGTATCTACTACCAATACTCGCCGTACTCTGTTCATGGTTCGATTGTCAAGTTGAAGCCAACGACAACGAGGTCTGGGCGACCGCGCTCGATGACAGCAGATCAGTGCTTGGTGTTGGTGCTAGCGTGGGGGCGCTCAGCTGGACCAGCGTCATTCTTAAGCCTGGTATTTGGTGTGACAGAATCAGTGATGTCTCTCTTCCTTCGCTTCGGCAGACGCCTATTGGTGCTAGTTCTGAAGAACGACTCCAAAGCTCAAGTCAATTTGCCAACATCAAGTTAAATAAGCCGCCTCCAAGATGTGATCGGGGCAAAATATCCACCACTGTTGAGCCTGTGTATGGACGGTCTCAAGTTTCGTTTGCAGGCCTCAGGTCACTCTGAATTCAGAGCATGTTCTACAACGGCTGGACGCATGACCACTACGTCAGCAATGTGTTCGCATTCTCGCCTGAAGGACTCATCATTGCGTGTGCGCTCAATGCACCTGGGTGTATGCATGATTCTCAAATTGAGGAGTGGGGGAATGTGTATGCCAAGCTCGAACGATTCCACCAATCTACGGGAGGACAGGTCGTAGTTGACACTGCATTTTCTACAGGAACGTATGACTTCCTGCTGAAGAGTGGAGAGGACGTTGCTTTGCCAACCGCTATTGGCAGAGAGGTGACAGCACTACGCCAGTCAGCCGAGTGGGGAATGCGAGCTCTTCAAGCTGCGTTTTCTCGTTTGAAAGATAGACTGAAGTACGAGGAGAGAGGAGAGCGTAAGTGCATCTTGCTCTCAATTGTGCTGTTGTTTAATCTTCGCACACGTCTCGTTGGATTGATCCAGATTTTATCCACTTTCTACAGTAGTAGTATCGGCCGAACAGCTAACGAGCTCTTCTGTAACTAGTTAAGCTAACTAGTTAAGGGCTTACTCATGAGGTTAAAAGCCGCACCATCGACGGTCATCATCACCTGCATCAGCTGCTCGTGGCGACTGTCAGCTTCCTCGCGTCGTAAACGCTCGTCCAGACGATCTTGATCACGTTGACGCCGCTCTTCTTCCCAGCGCAGACATTCCTCTTCTTGACGAAGGCGCCGCTCTTCACGCTGTGCGCGCTCATCAACTTGACTCTGCAGTAGTTGCATTCGCATCAGCTCCATGATGTCCTCGTCATCGGAGCCCGTGCTAGCACGGTGGGGATTGACGAGCGGTCGAGGTACACCAGAGCCAGCTGCTCTGATAAACTCTGGAGCATTAGCTAGACCAGCCGTCGCCGGCTGACCTGAGGCTGATTGGGCTACAGGACGCTCCGTTGGAGCTGGGGTTATCGGTGGCACTTGCTGGGGTTGATTCCGGCTTAATTCAGCGACAAAACCGATGTCTGTTTTGCTCACGTCGTCACCTTCACCGATGTCAGCCCACTGAGACATCAAGAAACGCACTCGCTTCGCAGTTCGTACCTCTGCTGGGCATGTAGAATTACCAGTACGTATGCGGGAGCGGCATAAGGCAGCGAACTTCCTTCGTAGTGAGTCGCCCGTGCTGTTGTTGGCGCTAAAACTCCGGTTGTGGATAGAAAGAACCAGCTCCCACTCGTCGCGTCCCAGTGGTAGATGCTCTTCAAGCGTTTCCAGGAAGCTCTGCAGCTCGTCAGCATCGAAACCTGCGCCGCGTCCACCAGGTGCGGCAACACGATCTCGACGGGGCGCACGAGGAGTCAATGGAGGCGATGGCGTTGACGCCACGGATATCGGCTTGAAAGGGATGGTTGCGAAGTGGCACTTTGGTATAAGAAAGGAGAGGGTTTCGGATGGTGAGTGAATCGGTTGCAGCACCACAATTGTCCCTGATCTAGCAAGTTTGTTCGCACTATTTTTCTCTGTCGAGCCAGCAACGACGAGCATAATCGCGTCACAAATGTGTGTCCCAAATATAAAATGTGAATTCAGGAAGCACCCATTAATAAAAAAAAACTAGGCATGGAAAAGTTGGGCGTTCGCGTTAGTAAATGAACGCTCTTCAGTACATGCAGTAGCAAAATAAAATCCGATTGATCATCCACATGGTGGTGGTGAAGGTATTAGCGTATGATAGTTTGCTTTATTGGCTATATTACTAAAGATGTGTGTGTTGGGCTAGGATCAAATCTTAAAATCACTCGATTTACTTAAATCCATAACACAATCAAACGATTGATGATGCAATTTTTGCATGAATGCACCAAAATGATTATTTTGAGATACTTGACCAGCAGGTATAATTTAGAATAACAATATTTAATTCATTAAAACATATAAACTAAATAAAAAGGTAATTATTTTTTCAAAAAGAATACTGTTACGTAATACCATCTCAATATTAAAATTATTGTTTTGGTGAAACATTCAGAAACATTTTTATAAAATTAATTCTACATATTTTCATAAAGAAAAAAATGAGAAATATAATCAATCGAAATAAAATTATTTGTTGTCGTCGAAAAGAAAAAAAATGTTAAATCAAAAGAACTGCACATTTCAATTCTGGATCATGCGCTCTCTACATTTGTTGGGCAAATACAAATCCGAGGACCAGATGATGTTGAAAGTTTGGTTTTTATTTTGTTTTAATTAAAATCTTTTTCTATAGAAACCTTATACGTATGAAGACACAAGACGATGTCTTGTGTATTTCTGTGGAAATTGTATGATCCATTGCACTCGGAGGTTCCATCTTAGTAATGAAGCTCCATATGACGGTGGGTATACGGTAATTCATATCAAGACCATGTTATCGCTGCGTAAAGATAAAAACATGGCCGCTTGTAGACCAATGTTGCTGGTTTTCCCGTAGAGGCGCAAATATTGGTGATCAATTGCCGTAGAAACTCAAGAAGCGTTACAGTTGGACAAGAAATAGTCGTTCCTGCAATCCAGAACCGAGGGTTACAACTCGTAGTAGGGTTTTATCGACCTAGGTTCTTGTTGCTAGTTCTTTCATCGCTTGCTGTATAGTATACGCTTCCAAATCAAACTGTGATCCTTGAGCTGGAGCACATGTACTTCCAGCCACTATAGCTTTCCAGTGTGAAGACGTTGGGATCGATACATCGACAACCATACACTGTTATATGTTAATTTAATAATTAACTAATTAACCCTTTAAACCAACTACTCGTGGTCAAGCTGATCCGATCGAATCCCTTCATCTGGTCGTCAACAGCGTTCCCACCAGTGATGGCAATAGAAAATTCTTTCCATAAAAGGTTCAAACATTTTTTGATTTCAAATTCTTTCAACGAACGTTTGAACATTAAAACGAAG